GAAGAACATACCTTTCATTGATATCAAAAAAGTTGTGTTATCTCCATTATATATTAAGCTTGGATTGATAAATAAATACCTTTCATTAATCTCTTGCACGATACAAAATTTCCGAAAAATTTGGTTTCGCGATTTAGCCCTTCACTATAGCAGCTGCCCTTAAAATTGATCAAAATCAAGTTCTATGTCTAAAGGTATTTTAGGTTCGCTCCAGATAAAAGTAAAGATTTTTTTTCTTTTACTCTAAAAGTGAGAGAGCTGAAGACGAAAAAAATATTTCTCTGCATTAAAAGCATCGTAGATAAATCGTATTGCTTAGATGGAATGCCGCAATTGCAGTTCGTGCTCTGTGTTGTGGCCACCAGAACTTAATTTCATCTTAATTTCCATTACTTTAAATTCACCACAAATTTCAAGTGCTCCATTATCTAAAGCTTGCTCACACTTTTTCACAAAAAATTGTCTTTTTATCTTTTCTCATTAATTTTTACTCAAACGTAACTGGTACTTTAATACCCCTTAACACTCGTGCTAAGAAAAGCAGCATAGAATTTCTGCAAAGAAAATAAATGAGTGAATTGGATAAGCTACAAAGTCAAAGTGTATGTCTTCTTCTTCTTTGTCTCCACTTAATGAATAACCTGAACTGGCAAAGCGGCAAAGTTGCTAACCCACAAAATCCCTATGATAACAAGCTATAAATATATGTGTACACTTACAGCAAACAGAATGGCGAGAATGCAACAGCACAACAACAACTTCACTGGAGTTGCATGCTCATGGCAAATATGCGTTGAACTATGCTTGGCTTTGATATAAATCAGAAGAAGCCAACATAAATTTGCGTTAATTAAAATGAGATGATTGTGGGTTGTTAGTCGCCAGGAATAAAGAGCCAGTTGTAGAGTCGGAGAGTTATGTTTAGAGACTGAAGAGGGGTGCAGTTGATGCAGTGAAGTTGTTGCTTGCCATACATACCAACACAAATACAGAAGTCGCTGACACCATTAATGCAGCAAACAATGGCATTCGCGCCCACAAACGCACATCCACACATATGCATACGTCTGCAGCGGATGCCCGCCGTGGCGTATGAGCGCTGTGAGCCAGCACAGGAGGAGTGCCGGGTAAAAATGCGTGTGAGCTGAATGCAACAGTTCGGTGTTGTTTGCCGCTGACAGCATGTAGCAGTAGCAAGGACATGGAATTACGGTTTTGCATGCAACAGTGGCGAGTTGAATGCTGAAGTGAGTGCTGTGTTCGAGCGGAACCGATTGTTGTAGAAATTCCATATACTTTAGTATAGATTTTATATATTATATTTAAAAATTATTTTTTTTTAATTTTTTTATATTTTTTTGCATATTTCGATGTTATAAGCCTTTAAAATTATTATATTAAAATTTGAAATGAATATCTCAAACAGTTTTTGAGCTACACGCTGTAGTCGCTCAGTTCAAAAACGATCGAAATTTCTACTAAATTTAAACTTTTTTAAAAAGACGCCGTCAGTTTGCAATTTTTTTATTTTTTTCGACCGTAATGAACTACGGACAACAACCGGAAAATTTTACGTGGGTACCTGCTGACGACAGCCTTACTCCACGGTACTCAAAAGTACAACGAATCAAATGAAAGCGTTGATCAGCGCCCTGAAAATGCCAGGCACCTTCAGTACCAATTGGCAGTGTGGAATGGACACACTAACCACCTTGGTAGGGTTCGAGKCCTATCTAAAACCTCTGCCGTACTATGGGTCCGGCACCCGGTTGCAATGCAACTCCACATCGAAAAGACAAAATGCCAATTCTACCCGCATTTGGGTATAAACCACAACCACCACGATACTCCCCGAGGGGCSAGTCYGCAYGAGCAGGTTGGAGTTACCTCCAAGGGCTCCTGCTCCCCGTGGTACCAGAATTAAGTCTCCGGTCAGTATCTATATCTACATCTACAATATCTTCTAGAGTTATCTTTTTTAAATTTCATCTACGGGAAAGACCGTAATATCTACATCACTGGAATACCCTTGTTTTGGGGCCGCCGGAATTCGCGTGTAATTCTAAAAATATTTAATTTTTTTGTTCAAAGTTCATTCTTTGCATTCCTCAGCTTTATACAAATGTACCCCTGGAGTAGAGAAAATTAAATACCCAAAAACCGACTGACTGTGACAATAGATGTGGATCTGAAATTGTAAGAAATAGCTAAAACAAGGAAGAACGGAATATTTTCACCTACTTTTTTGATGAGCTATATCATTCACTCATACACATGTTTAAAGCAATCTGCAATACTTCACTTATTTAGTCCCTAAACAACCGCTCTTTTTGAAGCAAAGTTATAATACCCTTGGCGCAACTTGCCTGCGGTTGTAACAAAGCGTCGAAAGCGAAAGAAAAGTGGGGTTGGTTTTCGAAATCACATATTTCACTGCATTGTCAGTTGCAAGCAAACAGAAAGCAGTGAGTGCATTTGAAATAATAAAGCCAAAGGCTTGCTTGTAATGTGCCAGAATAAAAAAGCAAATGAGTTATATGAGCTAAAAACAGTAAATACCTAGAAAGCAACAAAAGAGTTGTAAAAGTCACAAAAGACTCTAAAACAAAAACGAAAAGGAGTTAATGCGAATTACTGCCGAGCAACAGGGCCAGTCACCCAAAACGCTTAAGATTTGTTATATCGTCGCTTGTAAGTTAGTTAGTTTAAGCTAAGTGAATTTCTGGGAGCAATGTCTAAAACAACTTTCCTAAAAACTTATTTCCAACAAATGTGTTGGCGATTTTATGAATTTTTCATTCACTTAATAATTCAAATTTCATTCAATATTATATCTGCTTGATTACTATTTTCGTTTTTTAGGAACAACTTTTGTGGATATTTTAACTCTTGCAGTGATGGTTGCTACACCTGCTCAGAGATTGAAGAAATTTGTTTAGGCTTTTCTTTAATAACACTAATTTTCAGTAATTTTGCGACTGTGATGTTAGATTCTATTTCTTCCTAATTTTGTGTTGCTAAAATCAAAAATTTTAGTAAAAACTTCCCAATACGTAGTATTTTTTTGTGTTTGGAAATTTTTGAACTCAAATTCATAATCCAAACACCGCGAAGACCCCTACTGTTCTCTCAGCACATCAGTCAAAAAATTTCACTTAAGATTTGTTGAGTAGTGTAGTTAGCAATTCATTGTGAAAATTAGAGTCTCTTGATTCCGTAGCCGATCTTCTATCTTCTGTCAGGTATATGCTCATTAGGGTGGGTCAAAAAAAATTCTAAAGTTTTGGTTTTCGCTTGATACGCGGAAAAATTGGTTTGACAGACGCCACCAAGAAAGGTATGGTCATCCGCCTAACGGGTTTCTATTTTTCTTTTCTATGATCAGATTAGTAAAATTGTAACTCGCTTCCAATTACTTGAAAATTCCGTTTTGTGGATTTTGTTGGAAATTGTTTGTTCTCTAAAAAAGGCTTTCAACGATTATTTCGTAAATCTAAACGTTTAAAAGATATGAACGGTTTAAATTTGATTATTTTGAAGAAAAAATTGTTTTCTTATCAATTTTATAACTTAGTGAAAACAAAAACTTTTAAATTGCAAAGCTCATAGTCTTGTAAGAAAAATCCGTTTGTTTTTTAACCACCCTAATGCAATTCGATTCCTTGATATGATTCAATTTGGCTTCGGACGTGATCAACTAAACGTTTTTCACGTCACCGTTCATATTATGATAACTCAAGCTAAGCTCACTTATTTCTGAGTCAACACCAAAGAAGTCCGCTATCCCTTCCCTAAATACATACGTATGCTTCAACTCATTTGTACTATCGGTTTCAGCGATTTCCATGACGTAATCAATTAAAACCAGTAACGGGAGTTCCCTCATTGTTTTTTATATTCGTATTCAAAGCCTGAACTATTTAATGAATATTTAAAAAGTAGTTGCGGCTATGCTATTCGAATCGTTTCATACAACGGAAAATATGTGAACTGCTGTGAATTCGCAGAAACGTAATGAGGTTTGTTCATGTAAATGGAAAAATGCAAAATTCTTTTGTAATTTACACTTCGATAAAAAAGTGCACTTCAAAGCATCGATAGAGATTAGAGAACAAAGAGATTGTGTCTCTTCAATACTCAGCTAAAAAAATGTGCAAGAAGCTTAAAGCTCATTTTTGTTGTTGAAAGCTTTCGAACCATTGAAGTATATGTATCGAAATGGCGTGCTGATCAAGTTAATTGTTGATTAGTGATCTAAATTATTTTCTTAAAATTTGCGTGTTTACGGTAGTTGCACTGGGTTTCGGCATGCAATTCCGAAAAATTTCTATGAGTGAATATATATGTATGTATGTATCCTCTCCGGCTTGTTATGAAAATCAGAAAATTTTAGATGTTAGCCAAAAATATAGGTAGTCGAAAAAGTTATTTCGTATTTCTAATCTAACTACAACTTATCTCTTTTATATTTATAATATATATATAGTATACTTGCATATATTTTGCATTTTCTAATACAAAGCCATCACAATATTAATTTAATCTTTCTTGAACCGCTGAAAGTAAGCAACCAAACTTTTAATGCTCACCCTAATAGTAGAAGACTTTGACATAAATTTATATTTAGTGGCGTTTATCGGACTTTCCTCCACATGCAATGTAACTCACGTAAGGCATTAGTTAACATTAGTTATTTTGAAATATCTGCGATAAAAGATGCAAAACGATTTCTTTAATCTTTCGCAGAAACGATAATTTCGAGCTTTAATCACTGTTTTCCATATTTGGCTAGAGATTAGTCGATAACAATTCACTGAAACCCAACAAACTATATAATTACAAGGCGCGCTATATGGGGTATGCCCTGTGTTGGTTGGGAATACCCTACTGCAATCGGTTGCTTTCTCGCTTGCGAGCCGTGCATGTGCATTTGCTTCCGCAGAGAATTCATTTGCAGTTTAAGTAGTCGCTCACTTTCCACTCGACCGGTTAATTGTAAACACCTAAAAACCTTGTAAAATGTTCAAAGCACATTTAATTCTATTATTTTTAGTCGGAATCGCGCCAGTACTAGAAGTTAGTGCCGCTTTTTGTACAAAATACGGACCAGTGAGTGTTCAAGTGACAGAAAATATATAATTTATACAATAAAAAAAATAATTGACGCTTTACAGGATGCCAAAGTTATCAGAATTTGTTGTCCCGGCTATGAGGGAGACGGTGTGAACTGTGTGCCGTTCTGCAGGTGCGGTTGCATTAATGGTGTGTGTGTTAAACCCGACTTTTGTGAGTGTCATGAAGGATTTGCCAAACACAATGGACCGCACTCACCGTGCGAACCGATCGCAACAGCACTTCGTGAACCGCAGCCACACAGCTGCCTCGAGCGCTGCGCCAATGGCACCTGCGTGGATGACACATGCACCTGTGCGCAAGGCTGGCTGCTGCAACAGCACGAAGGACGTGAGATTTGTGTGCCACAATGTAACGGCGGTTGTGTCAACGGTTATTGCAGTGCCACGAATAATTGCGTTTGCTATGAAGGTTTCGAGGCGCAAGCCTCTAATCAGCGTGAGTGTGTTCGACGCTCGAGCAGCGGCGCACTGTCGACGCAATTAGCGCAAATGAATGGGATTCTAGTCTCGCTGCTACTGATCAGCTGTTACTACGCGTATTGGCGCACTATAAATACGCACACAGAGCACCACTCGAAGTGTGACCTGAAACGCAGCATCAAAGGCAAACGATAAGAAGAGCTCGAAAGCGCACCCGCGTATACACGCATTTTTTTCAAAACTGTACTGAATTAAGTTAAGATGTTTTTCTTCCAAAATAAAAATAAAAAGCCATTGTGGTATAAACAAGCATTTAAAAATAAACAAGTAAATAATTAACACTTACCAAGGAATAGCCGGCATTTTCATTGCGTGCGCCGCCAACACACTCCACGCGCGCGCCACTTATCAGCTTAGCGTAATAAATTTTTAACTCCTTATGTTTTATGTTGCAGCACCCTGCATTCATGCGTGGAACAATGAACTTTTTATGACACAAATAAGCGCCGACAGCGCAAACCTGCTGATGCTGCTGCTGCAAAACTGCGCGGCATGCAAACATAAGTACGCACAGAATAAATAAAAATTTAGTAGCAATAAATTAGTTGCAATGACAAATGTGCTTTTCATTCTAATTGTTCTCATAAATTTAGAAAAAGCTGAAGAAAGCGCAAAAGTGATAAAGCAGACAAAAGCAATAAATAAACGCTCGGGACAGTTAAAGAAAAATTAGTTTGTGTTCAAAGGCACAAAAAAAATATATTTTTATATTTTTTTGCATTTTTCGGTGGTCTATGAAGACCTTCTTTTAAAAGGTATCCGATCGGTACAGTAACCAATCAGTTTTTCCAATTTGTCCAAGTTTAATCGTCAAATCATTTTCGTTTTTTTCTGCTTACTTGGKCTATATTTCAACGGTCAACGACCCCTAAGTTTTCAACATTTTTAGAGATTGATCAACTTTTTCCTGGAGAAATGTTCTTTCCATAATTTTAGTATGCTCTTGGTGTCACCCACAAGATCACCTCTAGGGGTTCTACAAGAGTATGCTCCGGTCTTGAAACTTTATGTTAGTCGCCAGATTATTTCGTAGAGTTTTCGATCATTACCCCTGTCGGCAGGATCTTCATACTTGCGCACTTCCGTCTCTCTCTTTATCTTTATCTGCAAATGCGTCTCACTTCTCTCTTCAGCTCTGGATATCTATCCCATCCCGCACGTGTTGTGGCCGATTGTAACGGCGCGAGGTAGACCGTCTGCTTCTTTCCGCTGCGACACGGCACTCCTCGTCGTACTAGCTGTTCTTCGAACAATATTCGTACAGTACAGTAGAACTGATTAGTTGAATGAAACAAACGGCATCAACCGCTGATTGACAAATTAACTATTGTAAATAAATGTATTGTAAATTAATAAAAACTACATAAATTAAATGATTTGTATCAAGTATACACCTCTCATAACTCAATTGTATTTTGCCATTGCAAGTGAGCTTTGTTACGCTAATCAATAATTTCTCTCGCTCCATTTAAAGAGCAAATCAGCAAATCGGTGTGTGTCTTGACATGCAATAATTTTCTTAATGATTTTTTAATGAAAAAGTGAATACAAAAAATAAAATTTTTTTTAACTTATTTTCTTTAAGTGTATGAACGACCATTAGATTTCATTTTCAATTTCCGGTGAATAATCTATAAAAATAAACGTTCAGCAAAACAATGTACCAAATATATTTATATGCACTGTTTTGCTTGCTCTCCCGATTTTTATGAATTTATGTACACATGTGTGTGCAAATATTTTTGAATGTGAAGAAACAAGGCATGGCCGACAAGAAGTCTGTCAGCACCAAGGTAAATTAATAGAACACACGCACTCTTCCCGCAGAGCAAGAAGCGGGAAATGGCAAGTAAACAGGCGAATTGCAGACATAAGGAAAGCATTAAGAATCAAAYACAGGTGAAAGAAAACAATCGATGGTCAACCGGAAGGGGCGTTTAGTAGGACAGCTATTGCTAGGAGTTTGGTTGAAGGGTTGGAGTAACAATACAATGCGCTCGGAAATTCTAAAAATAATATGCCAAGCCGTTGGCAGCAAGCTGTATGAGATTATTCGATTTTTTGTCTGTGTGAATATGTATGCTTGTGACAGGTAGACACCGGTGAGGAGTGTCTGCAATTTAAATGCTTAGTAGCTTTAGCATTTGTGGCTGCAGATAACATGCTAAATGGAATTTATTATTTAAGTTGAAGCGCAGACATGCCTTACAATAGTTGAAAGAAAGCAAAACTATAGAAACAGGGCGAAGAAAATATGAAATATTTTTGTTATCTCAGTTATTTAAATGGATGTTAAACCTTTTTTATACAGCACTAATAGAATTTATATTGGTTGCAGGAGATTATATAGGGTAGTCGAAAAAGTATTTTCGTATGTCTAATAAAACTTCAACTTTTAATTTTTTATTTTATTTATCATGAACTTTAATGAACCAAATATGCATAATTTTGGTCGACTACCTTTTGTCAATTTTTGCAAGATACATTATTCCATCAGTGTAATACTTTAATGGTTTCTCGCGAAAAACTGCGACTTCTAATTTTCAGAGGACTTCTAGAAGCCAACTTTACTTCATTTAGGGAGTTATGCATTGACCATAACAGATGACATTCTGATGGTGCAAGTTAAATGAATCAAAACTTCTCAGCCAAGCGCTCCCAGTTTTTGCCGAGTCATCAAAGATGTGTATCGTCTAGCTTCGTCTTGATGAAAGACGAAGCCCTTTCTGTTGTTCAGTTCTGGCCCTTTTTTCTCTTGCTTGCTTCAATCTCATCAGCTGTTGACAGTGAAATGTAGAATCAATTGTTCAGCCAGGCTGGAGCAGCTCATAGCGGATGATTCCTTTCCAGTCCCACCAAACACCCAGCATAACCTTTCGAAGCGCCAATCCTGGCTTTGCGACCATTTCTTGAGTTTCACCACGCTTGGACCATGAACTTTTTCGCACATTGTTATTGTATTTGATTCACTTTTCGTATGCTGTTACCATTCGCTTCAAAAATGGTTCGATTTCATTTCGTTTCACCAAACAATCGCAGATGCTAATTCGGTCCATCAAATTTTTCACAGTGTTACCCAAACATCGATCTTCTTTTTGTAACCAGCCTTTTTTAAATGGTTCAATACCCTTTAAGTTCCTGAGCGATGTCATTGCTACTTATACGATGATCCTGGTCAATCTTTATTATTATTTATGAATTAAAAAAAGTTGGAAACATCCAAAATATTAAGTTATTGATATTATTAAGGTTCTACCGAGATTTGAACTCGGATCGCTGGATTCAAAGTCCAGAGTGCTAACCATTACACCATAGAACCAGTTGTGGATAACCTCGCCAAAATGGAAGCCAGAGAATGGACAATATTTTCAACAGAGGGAGATATTAGCAGAAACTTCGTTCCTCAAGTTTCAATGCTGAAAATTAGAAAAAAAGTAATATAAGTATAAAACACTAATCAGTGATTAATAAATAATAAATTCTAATATATATATATATATTATATATATATATATATTTATAAATATGCATTTTATCAATTTTTCGGAGTAAATAAATAAATAAACGTTTTTCTTGGTAAACCAAAAAATTAATCAATAAAAGGTGATAAAAACGACAAATTCTTCAAGATGAAACCTTTCTCGCACAATTTTGTAAAATCAGCAGTTTTTCTACTCAATATCTTTTCATATTTCAGCATATTACATAATATCGACAACTAACAATTGCTACCCAAATTCTCCTCTCGTATTTATTATTATTATTATTTCATATCTTTACAAATATGTATGTAATCTTTATCTTATGCAAATAACTTGACAGTGCGCGATGATACAAACAAAACTCCGTAAATAATCTCAACATAAATTTTTAAAATCTGAGCGAATTGAAATTTTATTTATAAAAAATTTGTTTCTGAAGGTTCTACCGAGATTTGAACTCGGATCGCTGGATTCAAAGTCCAGAGTGCTAACCATTACACCATAGAACCGGTATGGTGCGGAGCTGCTATAGAGCATACACATACTACGCTCTCTCAACCTGGTTGATATTGTTGTTGCTGTCGCCGTCGTTGTAGGCAAAAGTGAGGTGTCTGCAGTGGCGCTTGCCGAGTTTCGGTTTGGTGGTGAGTATTTATGACGCGCAATGCTTTGCCTTAGCGTTTATTTTTAGTAACGGCAAGTGCTAGGCTAAGCAGACGTCATAAAGTTCGAATCTACAGTAGCAAACAAAAAAAAAAACATATATTAAACTAGAATGTAAAAGATGTTTGCAGCATTGTTATGCGTTCTTATTTTCATTTCACTTGCTGGCATGTCGTAAACGCAGTTGTCTCATTAAATTATGATTGCCTAATGTGCTCGTAAAATTGCAAATGTGTCGCTTTTGATTTGGCGAATGATTGCAATTGTGCAGCGATACAATTTTTATGGCCAACGACAAATGCAAATTTCGAACATTTGGGGCACTGAAACTTTTATTTCACTTATTGGTGAGGGAACGCTAATTATTCCACACATTAAGKGGTCCCAATTTTTAAATGCCAAAGATAGAAGGACTTCCGATAGTAAAATGTGGTAGATAGCATTTGCAACCGGTTTAGTTTTTGGCTTTGGGATCACATATACACACATATGTATATACAACTGTGGTAATGGTTATAGTAGAAATACGAGCATGGTGGGTTCTTACTACAAATTGAAAAATCAAGTAAAAAGAAAACTACAAATTAAATAATATTAACAGGTAATTTTTAACTGTTTCTTCAGCATATTACATAATATAATATTCTTTATTTTTTCTTTATAGTATATCTATTTTTGACTAATAAGACTTGTTAAACATTTAATTGTATTATGGATGCTGCATGATGGTGTAGATAATGCGACAAATTTAGTCAAATCTAGAAAGCCGGAAGTCATTCATGCTCTTACAAATAAAATCCGTTTGTATTATGAAGCTTCCACAATGGTCTCATAAAAACTTTCGATACATTTGTTATAGGATACGAATACTTTTTTCTAAAAACAATATTAAGTTGCCTGCTGCACCATACTATGTTGTTGTTGTATTGCATGCAACAAGTGTGTTGAATGTCTTTCATACATGCGAGTTATGATGCCATTGGCGGCTGCCTGCAGTTGGTATTTTGAGCAAACAAACAATTCTATTTATGTATCACGTACGTGTAACGGTTATTAATGACGTTTTCTCATTTACGTTACCCTAGTCTCGGGAACTGAGAGCGGTTTACG